AGGAGAAGAAGAGTCGCGGCGCCGGGACAAACAGGCGGGCCCAAGGAGAAGAAGAGTCGCGGCGCCGGGACAAACAGGCGGGCCCAAGGAGAAGAAGAGTCGCAGCGCGTGTTCGAATACAACTCCATAGCGGCTGCTTTGTTTTCAGAGCGCGTATGGCTCGCTCTGTTTTGCCTCCCAACTTCCGAAACTGTTTGCCCTCTGTCCTGTGGGGTCCTACCCTTATTTTTTTCCCTCCCTTACCAAGTGCTTTTTTTTCGGGCAAAGGCGGGTGGGATCGCGTGCGAGCTTTCTGGAAGGGTCCGACAGTCGTATTATCTAGCCGCTCGGGTGTTGCTGGCCGCCTGCATAGGGACCCGCTAGCAGTAGGAATTTGGGATAAATAAGGTTGCACGCAGAAGCCTCACGTAGTACGTGGGGGATTAGAGGTTGTAGTTTTTGTGAAGGGTTTGGGGGTTCAAATTGATGGTTATAGGTATGGTACGGGTCGTGATGTGTAAGCAGGGTCCATATGTACGGTAGGACCTGCGTTTGTCAGGGGACGTGTAGCAGGATGGTCGCTGAAGGTCTAATTATGAGAAGTTAGTACTTAGGACTCGAACCGCGGTCGGATATATGAGTTTGTGGGACTGACTTACGGGTTTGGGTGTTTTTTTAGTTTTTTTGGGACTCGAACCGCGGTCGGATATTTGAGTTTGTGGGACTGACTTGTTGAAGGTTCGATTTGTGTCATGTGCGGTACTAGCAGTTGACGTAATTAGGTCTGGCAGTTGGTCTATGCGGCTGGGGTTTGATTTTATGTTGTGATTTGAACCGGAGGTTGGTAGCCGACGCGATGGTTTTGGAAGGGTTGGACCTGTCGAGTTGGTCCACCAGGTGGTTGTCGGATTATCATATGCGGTGACGGTGTGGTAAAGTTGGACCTGGTCTGGAACAGTGTTCAGGACTTTGGATGTTCGATGAGACGTCGAGGGTCTTCCATACGAGTACAAATAGGAATCAGAGCGTTGAGTCGCATACCCTTGCGACACAAAGACCCCTGATGAGTGCCGGTGGAGGCCGGTCGAAACGTCGGGTCCTAGCCGTCAGCTTTAACGATGATTCTTTAATCCAGTCGCGTTCGGGATGACTTTTGTACTCGCTTGTGTTGTCACTTTTTTCTTCCTCGCCTGCTTCTTCGTCTTCCTCTTCCCCTCTCTGTTTTCATGCTTTGATGGTTGCTTTTCATGATTTGTGGCTGGTATGTGGGTACTTTGGCTGTGGGCTTTGCCATCGATGGTGACTTAATACACGCCTGCATACCCCACTAGTGTGTCTCTGCGCAGGTGCACCATTCAGCGGAGTAACGAATGACGGAAAGGTGATGCGCCGTGTCTCGGCGCATGTGCGCCATTCACTGGTAATGGAAAGATGAGGCGCCATTGACCGAGTGAGGGCAGGCAGGGAGGAAGAACGTGGACAGGCGAGGACGAGGCAAGACAACCGTGAGGTTGCTGGGTAGGGTCGGTAGAGGTGACGTGGGGTGTCGAAAAGGCAAGCGACTGAGCGGAGGGAGGGAGGAAGGGAAGGAAGAAAGAGGGAGGGAGGAAGAGCGTGGGGAGGACGAGGAAAGGGAAGCGACTGAGCGGAGGGAGGGAAGAAGAAAGAGGATTGGGGAGGACGAGGGAAGACAGCCGGATGGAGGAAGGGAAGGAAGAAAAAGGAGGGAGGGAGG